ATTCAGCCAGCAACAACATCCGGAAGCCCACAACAACCAAAACGAGATCAAACCAAATGCATAACAAACTTCCTCAAAATTGTTTCTCCAAAACTAAAATCCTCCAAAATCGTAACATTTCCGCGAGCTCGCAACAATCAAAACCAGATCAAAACAAACTTCCCCAAAGTTCCATTCCAAAACAGGTCAAGTAACAACAAATCAGCCTGAAAAATCGCAATAAATCCAACCATAAAGCCGTAAAATCATAACAACAATTGTAACCCAAGCCCATAAACTCAGATCAAATAATATAAGACCACAAGTTCATCATGTTCATGAGGGAGGTGAGAAAAAGAGGAAGAACATCAAGTTCACCAAAGGGATCCGCGAATTCATCAAGAGGATAAATAGAGAGTTTTTTCGAAGCAACCAGAAATAGCAACAACATAAGTTCATCAGCAAGATCAGAAGGGACGAAAGAAGTTCATCAGTAGTGCATCTGGAAAACGGCAGACTCAGAGGGAGGAGATAGCCTCACCATCATCATCGCCCACTAAACATCGGCTATTCACCGTCAACGACTCCAAACCACTTCAAACCTCTAACAAAAAAGAGGTGAGCAATTTTCGTCATTAACAGAGTATTCGTTGGTTTTCAGAAGAGCTTCTATGGGGGGCGCCGCGAGGAAGAGGAAGATAGGGTGTCAAAACCCTAAAAATTGGTTTCAGCAAATGTGACCCATTCCCCTTTTTTATTTTGGCTTATTCTTTTATTGTTTTTTTTTTTAATTTCAAATGTTTATTAGGTTGATTTATTAGTTTATAATGGCAAACCCAAAAATTATATTTGGATTTATAGTTAAAATTTAATTTCTAAATTTAACTTAACTTAAAACTTTTTTTAAAACTTATTATTAAAACTTAATGAAAACAATTTTTTCTAAAAATTTAGAATTAAAACTTAAAAGAAAATCTAACATTAACCATTTAAAAAAAAACTTAGTTAAAACCTTTTTTAAAAAAACTTAATTTAATCATTTTTAAATCTCAATTTAAAACATTAATTTGAAATAATTTATAAAAAAAAAATTCTAACCTTGAAAAATAAATTACTACTAACATTTTTAAAACATTAGGCTTAGAATTATTTTCAATTACTTACAAACCCTTTCATTCTAATTTCTACCATGAAAATTCGGAAACAAAATTCTTAATATCCCCGATTAAATTTTCGTTTAATTGCCCTGTTTAATTTTGTTTAAAACATATGACGTTCCTAGTACTGCGTTCTCATTTGTACAGTTACTAATTTCATATTCTTTCCGTATTTCATTTTTCATGGTTGTAATTTATGTGAGGTCATCGTCGCTGTTGTTTTTATTTCGTTCTTATCCTTGCAAAATTTCCATATTTTCAAACTGCAGCTTAATTATTTTGCATTATATTATTCACCGTATAGTTCCTCCGAAGGAATAGGTCTAGCCGTTTGACTGGCGCGTCAATAGTCCTCACCTTGAATCTTTCACCGTTCAAACCCTAATTGCATAGGTGTCCCGCCGTGGATAGGTTTACCCTTTACCCTAGCATTAGGATAAGGAGTCTTCGTACTCCATATTAGGTTTCCTGCCGTGGAATACCTATTTTACCCTTTTTTTAGTTTAATTCATTCTCAACATAGAAATAGGAGTCGCTGCATTCCATGTAAGCGCTTCCTTAAGAACGCTTATTTCCCATCGAAACCTTGACCACCGTCAAGAAGTTTCTCTTCCTCCCTTTTAAGGGGAACTACGATTACTCTGATTCCATCCCCTACCTCGGATACGTAGGCACAAGATGCGAGTCTTGGCGAGTAAACTTAGGACTAACTCTTAGGTCTTTCTTTTCACCTTCTAACCTTTAGCATATACCCTTAAGAAAATAATTAAGCAAAATAGCAAACATTAAAATAAGAGGTTCTTGTAGAGTACTACATAAGTTTAGGGTGCTAATACCTTCCCTAAGCTTAACCAACCCCTGAACCTAGATCTTTCCCCCGCATTGTATTTACGATGCAAAATTAAGTTTTTCCTTTCTTTGACCTTTCCTTCTGATAAATTAAAGACCGGTTGTGAACTAAAGATGTGATTCAAATTAATTAATAATTTGATATCCTATTCTCACCGTAACAATGGGCCTACATCCACTCCAAGGGAAATTTTGACACAGTTCGTACCACGTCCCGGGCATCCTTTTATATCATTTTCGTGGTAACAAGGGAACTCTTAGCCGCCTATGAAAGGGACTTTACAACTAGAAACCTGAACTTGAAATTTCGGCCAGACTCCGAATAGGCCAAAAAAGCCTGCTCTGCTGTTTAAAAGACACCTAACTCTGCTTTGACTCAGCGGTGCTCCTCTGTAACTGAAAGATGCAAAAGAAGAGTTCCACAGTAGCCCTAATCCTAAGATAATGGCATACCTGCTTAAAAGCCCAAATGAACGTCTGAGCATTCAGGTGAAGTTGGGCAAGACACAATTCAAGATGACAAAATATTGTCCTTTAGAAATTCGTAAAGGGCAGACCATACCCTGCCTCCCTAAAAGCAAACCCGTACATTGGGAATCTCCTCCCCGGACACATTGAGCATATTTGGTCATTCTCTGTCGGACTAATCGTCCTCCAACTCATGGGCGCATCATCGGCCCTATATTCGAGGAGATCAAAATTACTAGCCTCCTCCTCCGTAAATGTCGACTTCGTCACGAGGGGCTCCTAGGCGATCAACCTAAGGTCCCCCTCAGCGGCCCGCACGTTGGCATATTGGGCGGGAGGCGCGTCCTCGTTAGTATTTTCCTCAACATCGGGGATGGTTCCCTCGTTTCGATCAGCCATTTCACCTGAAAATCAGAGGAAGCAAAAGTGAATTCGACGAAGATCAAATTCACCCTTCCACCACAAATCAAGTGAAAGAGCGAGGATTAAGTGCGAGGATGTCTCCCCAACTCAAGCCCTTATCAACGGCAAAGGGTCTCGACGAAAACCCTCCCCAAAAACAGGAATAAGTCCCCGCGACTTGTAAAGACCCTAAGGGGGATAAGCCTCGCGACTACTATGATGTGTCGGACACCTAAGAACGAAACCTTCAGCGTCGAGGATACCTTTTTTCCGGCAACAAACATGAAATGTTTCACACAACAACCTAGGAAGATCTACAGACATACAACATCTTAGATTTATGTTCTTCAAGGCCTTCATGAATTTCTAAGGAAATTCATGTGTTCATCTAGAAACGCATGAACTTCAATCGAAAAATTCATGCATCGCCAGTAAACTCAAGCTAAAAATCTAGAAATTCATACATTCTAACAGCAAGGATGAAGAACTTACTTGGATAAAGAGGATGAAGATGAAGATCTTGGAAAAGGCAAGAGCAACTGACGGCGGCGAAGAAGGCTATGGCGACGGACGTTTGTTGCAGAGCAAAAGATAAAGAGGAGAGAAATTTTCGTGAAGTGAAAATGAATCATTTTTTCCCCTTATATAGGCTCTTTTGCCCGCATGGGGAAACGCAAAAGGAAAAAAAGTCATCATTGCCTAGCCTCCTAGACCTCCTAGGCCTTAACAAAATTTATTGCACCTTCATACATGGAAAAAGAAGTTGTTAGTTGTCACTTTCAAAACTGACCTTTCACATGCTTATGAAAAGACAAGTCCCTTTAACTTTCCGCGGACACATTCTCCTCGACAATGTCACCAAATAGCATCCGAGCAGGAGGCTCGTCGACATTCTGTACACCCTAAGAAAAAAAATTTGGCCGACGTGAAACGCGCCTTTTATATCCGACCACATCAGTGCACCTCCAAGAAGGCTACACGCAATCAGCTGTCTGTCATGCTAATCACATGCTACGCACTTGTGCGTCCTCGAAGTTTTTCGTTCAAATGATGATGACCTCAAAGACTTCCCGTAATATGGTTCCTGCCCCTTCGTCGACCAGATAGGCTAACTCAAGTCATTACTCCTCACATCGAAGCAACGACTTAGGGGCTCCTGTTCTAGACTGGACTGACACCTGCCCCACAGTTGGGCAAGGCCCAATGCAATTTAGTTTAAGGTCAGACCCAATAAGAAGATTAGACACAATATAGCCGTTGGGAACAATATAGTCGTTGGGCACAATATGACCATTGGGCACAATATAGCCGTTGGGGACATCCCCCTCACGCGCTTGATAGTTCACGCGACCAACTGCCCCTCTGAAATTCATGGAGACAATTGGACCAGGTCAAAGATCACACGCTAGATCTTTCACCTGGCAGTCTCCCATTGGTTGGCCAGATATTTCGGCCACATAGAAGACTTTGGTCTCGCGCTGGGGAGAATCTCATAAATACTCTCTCTCTCTCTCTCTCTCTCTCTCTCTCTCTCTCTCTCTCTCTCTCTCTCTCTCTCTCTCTCTCTCTCTCTCTCTCTCTCTCTCTCTCTCTCTCTCTCTCTCTCTCTCTCTCTCTCTCTCTCTCGAGAGAGAGAGAGAGAGGGTCAGATATTCTAATCATTCTCACTCATACCTAAACACTCGTACTTACTTTCTCTCTAGCTCAAAAACTTACTTTGTCATCGGAATACCTTGCAGGTACACCCCATCCTCTCCTATAACCACTGTTGCTGCCCTACCTTAAAGGTCAAGACAATTCATTCTGATCACTTCAGATCAATTTTGAAATAAGGATTTTTTTTAGACAATGGTTAATTAAAAAAAATAGATATTGTGTTGATAATAACTCGTGAGATAAAGTAAAATTTTTATTTTATTAAAATTAAAAAATAAATTATTAGTATTTATAATGATAATAAATGAATAGAAAGAAAAAAAAATAAAATGAAAGAAAAAAAGTGTGAAAAAAAAACGTGGAGATTTTGTGTTTCCTCTTGTTACGTATCCTCTTTACTTACACGAGGAACTCAACATTTACATAGAACAACGAAGTACCGTACCTGCACTGCATGCACATAACCAAAAAAAACACAACAAGTCCGAGATGAAAACCGCCGCAGTAGAATTAGCACAGAGAATCAGCAGAACAATAATCTCAACCTCAAAGAACCACGCAAAAACCAAACATCATCATTATCCATGGACCTCACAAATCGAACAAACCCTTCACAACAACCTCAACCAAAATCTAACTCCATCTCTTGTTTCTTCAATCATCGACCCTTTCCTCCTCCATCACCATTCCCTCGCTTTGGGCTTTTTCAATTGGGCTTCTCAACAACCAGGCTTTTCCCATACTTCATCTACCTTTCACTCCATTCTCAAATCTCTCTCCCTTACACCAAACCACTCTCTTCTTTCGCTTCTCAAAAAAGCTCAATCTTTTCATTTCCCAATTCACCCTTCCGTTTTCCGTTCTGTTATAGGCATGCATATTTCACGTAAGAATTTACATCAAGCTTTTTCCGTTTTCAATGATGTTGTTTCGTTGATCAATGAAATTGGTTCCCCCACTTGTAACTCACTTCTCGCTGCACTTAGTTCTAACAATAATAGTAATGCACGTAAGGTGTTTGATGAAATGATTGTAAAAGGTGTTCCTTTTAGTACAATGGGCTTTGGGGTTTTTGTTTGGTATGTTTGTAAAGAGGGTGATTTGGGGAAAGTGATGGGTTTATTGGATGAGGTTGGGGAATGTGGTTCGGAGATTAACGGGTCTGTTGTGGCAGTTATGATTGTGAATGGTTTGTGTTTTGCTGGAAAAGTGAGTGAAGCTATGGCGGTGTTGTCTGAATTGAGGAATAGAGGGTGGAAGCCTGATTTTATGGCTTATTGGGTTGTTGCCAAGGGGTTTAGGGAAATGGGGAATGTGGTTGATGAGATTAAGGTTTTGAAGATGAAGAGGAAGTTAGGTGTGGCTCCTAGGAGTAGTGATTATAAAGAGATTATATTTGAATTGGTTTCGGAGAAGAGAATTTGTGAAGCTAAGATGATTGGGGAAGTTATCGTTGGTGGTAATTTTGTTGTTGAGGATGATGTTTTTAATGTTTTGATTGAGTCTGTGTCGGATGTTGATCCTATTGGGGCGATTGTGTTTTTTAATTATGTTGTTGAGAGGGAAAGGTTTTTGAGTGTTTCAAGTTTGAATAGATTGAGTTGGAATTTGTGTAGGGTGGGTAAAGTGGATGAGTTGTTGGAGGTGTTTCGTGTTTTAGATTGTCGGAATTATTTCAAGGATGTGGAGGGTTATAATGTGATGTTGTTGTGGTTGTGCGAAGCTAGGAGAGTGAAAGAAGGATATGCTGTTCTTCAGGAAATGAAAAAGAAAGGGCTGAATCCTGATGTATCGTCTTACAATTATGTGATGGAAGCGTGTTGTAAGGAGGATTTGCTTCGCCCTGCTAGGAAGCTTTGGGATGAGATGTTTGCCAGTGGTTGTTGTGGGAACTTGAAAACATATAATATTCTGATTCACAAGTTTTCGGAAGAGGGGCAGATTGAAGAGGCTGAGATGTTGTTTAACCGGATGTTGGACAAGGGAGTCGAACCCGATCGTGCGAGTTACACTTTTCTTTTACAAGGGCTCTGCCAAGAAGACAGACTTGAAGAAGCTTTTGACCTCTATAACAAGTCTATCAAACAGGATATTATCATTGCAAGAGACATATTGAGCTCGTTTATATTATCACTCAACAAGAAAGGTATTATTACTCCCTCATTTTCAAAGTTCAATGCAATATTAACTACTATTTTGTCAATAATGTTATTAACTATTTATTGCTGAGAGGGAAATCAGTGGAGTCAGATAATAAATGGTTAAGACATAATTCCATTAAAAGTAACTAGGTTTATTGGTTTTCTTGCTATGGGTAAATAATCTTAAAATGAAACTAAAATGAGACGAGAGAGTTGTATGTTCTCAAGGTTTTAAACCAAGTCATGGTCTCATTGCGATCCTTGATATCACTGAGAATCTCGGTTATATGTTGCTGATGCAGCCTCAGTCGAAATTGTGTTGTTGTCTCGGAGACATCAAAGATCTTCATGTTGTGGCACAGATTGCAGTTGTTGTTCTTTTTTCAAATTTTTCCTTGTAAATGGTATTTGTAACTTGGCATACTGTGTGCTAGGATGTTTTTACTTTGTCTAATACTTAACTTGTCAGCCTGGTGCGAGATTTAACAGCACAACATGTCATGATGTATGTTGTCTATGCAGGACATCTAACAGCTGCTTCCAAGTTACTTTGCAGTCTCAGTCAGAATATAGGACACGCAGAATCCCATGTAGTTTTGTTGAAATGTTTGGCAGATGCAAGAGAGATTCCAATTGCTATTGAGCATTTGAGGTGGGTTCAGGACAATTCACCTGCAATGCTACAAGATATATGTACCGGACTTTTAGCTTCCCTTTCTGTTTCTAAATGCCCGGAGCCGATATTACAGTTTCTTCAAAGAATGCAAGGTGTGTTATGATTTCATGGGTAAAGAGTTACTTTGAAGCTTATGTGCTTATGTGCTAGCACTGGGGGGACTTTCCCCCTCGTTGGGCTACAGAAGAGCATATCATAATTGAACTTACCACATAGAAAGACATGGTTTACTTTCAAAATCTCTGCATTTCTCACTGAACTTCACTGTAATGCGGTGGCTTCTGCTAAGATGTAGACAGAGGACACATAAGGCTAAGGATGAAGCTGTTGTTCGAGTGACAAATGATTCCAGTGGTCGGTACTTGTGCCTAAATGGACCCATCCGAAGACATCAAAAACAACAAGTTCAGTGACTCGTGTTACTAACAGGGACTGAAGATTACATCAGGTTATGTTTGTTGACAAGAACTATGAAAGGGAACATTCTTAGATGAAATAACTGACAAATTGACCTACACGCTATAATGACGTGTCAGCATGAAGCACTAAAATAAAGTCGACCTCCCTACCATTGTGTTGGTAAAAATATATGATAAGTCGGAGTATTTTCTTTTTAAGTACCTCTCATTTAGTGCTCTGTGATTGATGCACTTTCCTTGCCAACTGAAATATGGCATTTAAACTTGAAATGGCTAATATCACTGACCACCACATCATGATTCATGGATACCTGCAGTCTTCTATTCATTGGTGTTAATACAATTTACTTATTCTTTTTTCTCACATTTATTTTAACATATGTTATCTCTCTATTCAAAAATGTTAATGTCATTAAAAAAATACTAATTAATTTCTTCAAAAGCTCAATCTGTCGTCATACTTTGCTCGCGGCCATCATCTTTGTCGTCATCAAGTCTATATCTCTTGAGTCTGCTCGCCGCTATCATCATCTTCGCCGTCATCGAGCCTCTATGTGACAAGAGACGACTTGAGGAGTTAACGACCATAACAACTTTCTCTTACTTTCTCTTAATGACAGTAAGAAGTTAGTTGTGAAACTTATCCAATAAGTGCTTGTGTAGAGTTGTTATCATAGAACTTGTTCTATAAGTAACTCTTGTAATTTTCATTAACTATCAATGAAGATTTGATGTATTTCACCAAATATGTTCATGCATATTTGTTCATAATATGGTATATTATCAGATAGAATATTTTTTCTATTTTCTTCTTTGCCTCATTCATCAAGAACATGTTCTTAATTCTTTTTCTTCCTCACCTGTTGATTCACCATATTTCAGCACTGCATCTTCATCAATCTTCTCTGATATGTTTTTGTTTCTTCTCAATTTCATAGTTGTTATATTATCCAATTCATATTTTTCTGTTCATCTTCTTCGAGCCATTGATTCATATCATGCCTCTGTGTGTTGCTCCATCAGGTCAACAAGGTGACAATGAATCATGCTACTACATTCACCCCGGCGAAGGTCCCAATTTGGTTTGTATTTCGCCAAAGTTTAATGGTTCGCAGCGAACCAAATCCGTGCTGCGAGGTTTAGGTGCGAAAAAGAAGTTTCAGTTCATCGGCGGGACCATTGACATTCCTCCTAATCATGACCTAAACTATAAGCAATGGAAAAGGTGAAATTACTTGATCCATTCTTGGTTGGTAAACTCTGTTTCTGAGCAAATTGCATCTACCATCGTATTTCATGTCAATGCCATCGATGTATGGAATGACTTGAAAGAAAGACTTTCCAGAGCTGACCGTAATCGCCTTTTCAATCTTCGATCTTCAATAAGCAATTTGAAGCAAGCATCTAAGTCTGTTATGGATTACTTTATTGAGTTGAAAGATTTGTGGGAAGAACTCAATGAACATCGTCTTTTTACTTCATGTTGATGTACTCATGAGTGCAGATGTTTAGCCATGCAGAACGTTCGTGCTTATCGCCATGAAGATCAAGTTATACAGTTGTTAACTGGTCTCAAAGATCAATATTTTGTGGTGAAAACTCAAGTTTTGTTGATGGAACATTTACCACCAATTAACAAAGTCTACTCATTAGTTGTGCAAGAGGAGAGGAATCAAAAACCTATTATAATCATTGAAGAAGATAGCTCATTATTCGTCAATGCAGCTCAAACTTTGATCATAAAGGCAAGCATCAATATTTCATGAATCCTCCTAGGCAATGTACATTCTGCAATAGGAATGGCCACACTATAGATTTCTGTTGTCAAAAGCATAACCATCCAAATTTTAACAAGAACAAATTCCAGGTTAATGTATCCACCTGTCAAAATTGTGATAATGCTCAAACAAGTGATACTTCTGCAATTACTTCTCATGCAAGTAGGAATTCTACCATTTCTCAAGAAAAATATGATCAATTGATTGGCTTGCTCCAACAAGTTAATTTTCTACCTTAAGCAAATTTTTGTAATATTATTACAGCCTCATCCATGGTTCATGATAATCCATCACATGCATCTTCTTCGTGTATTATTTGCACAACTTCTAAACTATTACCTAATCATCATATTTAGATGCTTGACTCCAGTGTTAATGACCATGTATACTCTTCATTACATTTCTTTACTTGTATCAAACCTCTTAACATCACTTTGCCAAATGGTCCGTCTATATTTGTCAAACAAGCTGGCAACATCCATTTTTTTCTACACTTTATTTGCATGATGTATTATATTCAGCTGAGTTTCATCTCAATCTAATATCAATATCCAAACTTTGTCAATCTTTGAACTACAAAATTGACTTTTTTTGTCAATGATTGTGTCATACAGGATTTGAGCACGATGCAGATGATTGGTTTGGGTAAGTAGATTGGAGGACTATACATCTTGCAAATTGATACTTGTTCCCTGTTGATGACACAAGACCCAGACCTATATGCCTACCAGTATCAACATTATATTACCTAGTAATGCTTTATGGGATTTTAGACTAGGCCATGATTCAAACACAATTCCACATTACACCTAAAACCATAAGAACAGACAATGGACCTGATTTTACGTTACAGAACTTTTATGAGTCCATAGGAATCAACCATCAAAGGTCTTGTGTTGAAACCCCTCAGCAGAATTGGTTACAAGGTTCTGACAGGTAACAGGGGTAGAGAGAAAACATCAACATTTACTCAATGTTGGAAGAGCATTACTCTACCAAGCTAAGCTTCGTAAACAATATCGGTCATATGCACTCCTTTATGCCACATTCATCATAAATAGAGTTCCCACTGCTACCTTAAACAACAAGTCCACATATCAAGTTTACCATGACAAAATTCCTGAGATTAACTCATTTAAGGTTTTTGGATCACTTTGTTATGCCTCCACACTTAATTTCCATAGAACAAAACTTGACCCTAAAGCTAGAAAAGTTATATTTTTGGGATATACCGATGGCATGAAGGATTACACTCTACTACACCTTAACACAAGAAACTTTTGTCTCAAGAACTGTATCACTTCATGAGTGTATACTTCCATACACCACACAAACACCCCAAATATCTCAATCATGGACATACTATCCTAGTACATCCATTGACCACCACTCCACAACCACTAAACCTGCATCAATCCTTGACTAACATACCATCCTTGCACAAAATAATTCATTACATCTTCCTTATACGATGCTCCTGAAGACCATCAACCACCACATATTACTAACTAACCTACTGCACCTCATTTAATTACATACAAGTCCTACCCAACCACCTTTATTGCATCCTCCTAACCTTGACAGTCATGGAATTCATCAACCTATTGCACCTACTCGTACATCTTCAAGGATTACACACAAGTCATCCTACTTGCAAAATTATGTATGTTCCACATCTCAAAATCTAAATCTTTCATATAAAGGTGTGATATATCCTATCTCTCTTTCCATGTCTTATGATAGTCGGTCTGCACCACATTGTCATTATTCCTTGTTTCTATCATCACATATTGAGCCTAAATCTTATGTTGAGGCTTGCAAGTTTGAATGTTGGAATCAAGGTATGAAAACTGAACTCATTACACTTGAAAAGATAAGTACTTGGATCAAAATTGATTTGCCTCCAAATGCTAAGCATATTGGATGCAGGTGGGTGTACAAGATTAAACAACATGTTGATGGCACAATTGAGAGATTCAAAGTTAGGTTAGTACCCAAAGGCTATAACCAAATTGAAGCACTCGACTACTTTGAAACATATTCTCTAGTTTCCAAGTTAACAATAGTCAGAACAGTTGTAGCTCTTGCTTCCATTAATAACTGACATTTTCACCAACTAGATGTGAACAATGCCTTTTTGCATGGAAAACTCCAAGAGGATGTGTATATGACAGTTCCCCCATGTGTTAAAAATGATAAACCTAATCAGGTATGCAAGCTTATTAAGTCCATATATGGATTAAAACAAGCTAGTAGAAAATGACATGAGAAGTTGATTGCATTTTTCGTCAAACATAAGTACACACAAGCTACTATAGATGTGTCATTGTTCACTAAGCAAGACCAAAATATTTTACTATAATTTTATTCTATGTAATGTAGATGATGTTATTCTGGCAGGTAACTCACTACAAAAGATGAAATAAATTAAAGAAAAGTTGCACAAAGAATTTAGGATCAATGACTTAGGTCAGTTGAAGTTTCCTTGGAAAGAGGTTGCTCATTCCAAACTTGGCATTTCATTATTCCAAAGGAAATATTGTTTGGACCTTCTACAAGATTCAAAAATGCTATGTGCTAAGCTAACTTCCACTCCACTGACCCATCATCAAAACTTCATAAGGATGCTAGCATGTCATACCATGACATTCCCGCATACAGAAGATTAGTTGGGAGGTTTCTTTATCTAAATGGCACAAAACTTGGCATAACCTTTTGCATTCAACAACTGAGCCAATTCTTATCTGTTCCAGCAGTGAATCATTTCAATGCAGACACTCGAGTCCTGAGATATCTAAAGTCATGTCCTGGCAAAAGAATCGTCTTGCCAAGAGACTCATAGATCAAGTTGCAAGGATACTCGGATGTTGATTGGGCTGGATGCTCGGATACTAGAAGATCCACCT